TGAGAGCGTGAGATTGAGAGTGAAAGCGTGTGTCACACGCCAGATGCGTGAGAGTTGGCAACCCTGTTCAAAGACAGCAAAGTTGTGAAAGAAGCATTCCTGGAGGCTGCCGACGCGCTTTTTGGGGGACAGTAAAAATAACAGAAGCATTTCAACAGGTTTTTGATATAATAAAAACTCAAGTTAAATACCGTTATTAATCAGCTGTAAGTTTTAGTTTGTTTGAACTTATTCATTATAATTAATGTACACAATGGTATAAGAATGCAAACTTAAATTGTTTATAGTCTATTATCAATTCAGGTTAAGAAACTAGTGTTGCTTGCATCCTATTTTAAAGGCATTTCTTTTTATACTCTACTAAAATGCAACAAAAAAAGGGTTTGATTCTATTAATGTTGTCTTTTTTATTGCACTCTGGCAGCAGATTCCTGTAGCTTCAGATCTGAGTTGTCTTATTAGGAAGCCTAATTTATACTTTTGTAGCAACACTATTTTTATATAATGGCAAAGAAAGGGTTCAGAGTCTTTTCTTTTGTTCCTGTGTCATATGTGGCAGCACTGTTCAATGTTTCTTGAAAACATTACCCACTGTAGTGAGGTGTGAATAAACTCCAACTCTGTATCAACAACACTGTTGTGTAACTTCAGTTAAATACTTGTATGTGTGTAGATTAGAAAGAGGTAAGATTTGGACTGGTAGATCTCGGCAGACTGGCAACTTTAAAAGTAGCTCTCGGTTCAAAAAAGTTGGGCACCCCTGGTTTAGAGTAACAACAGCTCAGTGACACTCACACTGTGCAGCAAATACATTTACAGTCTGACTGAAAATATATACTGTATATATTTAAATGTCCACTCCACCATGGAAATGACTGTGTGAACACTGTTCCATAATTACTGATGTCACAACCGCACATAATGCACACACACCACACACATATACACAGGAGATATGCATGTGTATCAGACCGTTAGCAGTGTGTGAGGTACATTTGCTCGCTGATTAGGAAAGACAGCATGACAGTATATCATTTAATTCATGTCAAACATTGTTTATAACGGAAAGCACACACACAGTAAGTGTGTGCAAACAAAAATACTCAGATTTATGTTTATGTTTATTAAGGATCCCCATTAGCTTTTGCTCTCGACAAAAGCTACTCTTCCTGGGGTCCGACACTTAAAACAATACAACAATAATACAACAATAATACAGCAACATTTAGGACATAAGTCCTGACATCATTAATAACATTAAAAACATTAAAAACATCACCAATATCATCAACAACATGCGATCAAATTAAATTAGGGTTCACAGCTTACAAGGGTACATGGTCATTAGTAGATGGCTCTTCAATCTCTTCTTGAAAGAGGCTCTGGACTCTATTTCAGTAAGGTAGTTTGGCAATGAGTTCCATTCCTTTATAGCTCTATAAGACACAGAAGAGTTCAGAAGATGTGTCCTGGGTTTAGGTGCCAGTAGATGGCCTGATGTAGCTTGTAGTCTTATGGTCATGCTCGTCTCTTGTGTAAACTATTTGATCATAAAAATACAGTGGTTTTTTGCTAAATTGGACATTTAAAAAAAAAGTGATAACACGAGATTGCAGACGTTTCTCAACTGGAAGCCATGATAGGCTTCTATGCATAACTCCAATATGAGTGTGCTTCGAACAGTGGAGAGCTAGTCTGGCAGCCTTGTTTTGAGCTATTTGTAATTTCTGTAAATGTGTTTTTGCTGCTGATGACCATATGACCGGACAGTACTCAAGATGTGACAAAACCAGAGACTGAATGACTTGTTTCAAAGTGGTTGGTGTTACATACTTTGTACATTTTCTCGCCACAGCTATGCTCCTTCCCATTTTAGTTACGATACTGTCAATTTGCTTTGTCCACCGTAAACCAGAATCAAGAACAATGCCAAGCAACTTGGTCCATGGCTTGGATATGTATTTGGCCGTCATTTTGAGCAGTTTACCATCCAAGTTGTCAATCCCAGGAGATTTATCATCGGACAGATGTAAAAGCATATTTTCAACATATTCTTCTGTAACATTGTGGAATTCAAACATGCACTGCTTTTCCCTCATGATACAATCTTTAATGATGTGATGTGACACTGTGTCCTTGACTGCACCCATGGCATTCCTCAGCTTGTCTACTTTATTTGTAATATAATCATTAAAATGATTTGCAATATCTGCTGGCTTGGTAATTAATTTACCCTTGGTTTCTATAAAAGAAGGATGCATGTTTGAGTTCCTCCCCATTATGTTATTCAATATTTTCCATAATTTCTTTCCATCATTCGTAGAATCACTGATTTCTTGCATGTAGTATTCCCTCTTTCTACATTTATTCAATTTGGTTACCGCATTTCTTAGTTTACAGTAATGTTGTTTGTCACATAGAGAACCTGTTCTGTCTGCAGTTTGTTTAGCATCATCTCGTTGGACCATTACACTTCTCATCTCGTCATTCAACCAAGGTGCACACTGTGACCGGGCAGACCATTTTCTCATAGGAACATGCTGATCGGCAATCCCCATGAAAGACTTCATAAATACTCCCAGTGCTTTTTCTGGGTTTTCCTCATGGCAAACATCAAACCATTGCACATTCTTTACCTCCTCTACAAATTGTTCCTGATTAAACCCCTTATAAGACCTTCTATAATTTATCTTGGAGCCAGCCTTAGGTATTTTGGTCTTGCGTACTATAGCAACTAGATTATGATCACTAAAGCCAACTGTGAGTGACAACACTTTAGTGCAGTGCTCTGGCCTGTTAGTATAGATGTGGTCAATGCAGGTCGTTGTAATAGCCCCATGTTTATTTGTAGCCCTTCTGGTTGGTGATGTTATTACCTGAGTCATGTTACACATTTTGGCAGCTAATGCAATCTTGTTCCACATGGGGCATTTCTCATTGAAGGCATTGATAGTCAGGTCTCCCATGAAATATATTTCGCTATTATACTCCGCTGTATTATCTACCATTTCACAAATACCATCTATAGTTTGAATTGGCACTCGGTGGCCTATAACGGCATCCAATTAATATGGGTTTTAAATTTGGCAATTGTATTTGTAACCATAAAGCTTCCATTTCATTTTTCATTAGGTTGTATCGTACTTTAGCTGGAATACGATTTTGTACATAGATCAAAACTCTGCCACCATTCTTATCTCTATCCTTTCTGAACAGATTGTAACCATGCATTGCAACCTCTGAATCATCAACAGATGAGTCCAGGTGTGATTCTGAGATAGCCAGTATGTGTATATTATTTGATTCTACCAAATGGCAGAGTTCATGCACCTTATTCCTCAAACTACACACATTCAAGTGAGCAAGTAACATTCCCTTCTTTGGCAGATTAACAGAATGTGACATTATTGTCATGTGTTCATAATTAGTTCATATCAGATATCAGATATATCAGATACCTTAAAAGTCCAGTGATACAATTAGGTTCTGGAGTGCTGTGGGGGGCGGATTATCAGCTTGTCATGCCTCAGGAAGGCAATCTCTCCCCTCTCCCGCGCTTCCCACAATTTAGGGAGTAGCTCTTTCCTTTTCATTCTGACTGCTTCAGTGTAATGTTCATTAATGTAGATGTTCGTCCCTCTTAGATTTTTGGCTCTCTCCAAAACCGCTGATCTGTCCTTGAACCTCAGGAACGTCACTACTATGGGTCTGGTATTGTTAGCGGCTGGCTTCCCAGTGCGGTGAGCTCTCTCAATCTCAATGCCTCGTTGAAGCTGGAGTTTGTCCACAAGAATGTCTTTCACCTTTTCCTCAGTTTGCGCCCAGGTCTCCCCAGGCTCCTCACCGATGCCGTCAAGAACCACGTTGCTCATTCTCGATTGTCCTTCTGCATATTCCATTTTGTCAGTGACAGCTGACAGGCCGTCACTATTTCTCAAGATGTCAGCTTGCATAGACTTACAGTGTACAGACTGTTTCACATTTTGAGTTTTCATGTCATCTGTATCCTTTTGAGTAAATTGAATGCTAGACCTGATTTCCTGAACCTCCCTTGTAATGGCATCCAGCCTTGTGTTAGTGGAATCCATAATCATTTTAACAAAGCCTCTGAAGTTCTCCTGTTGCTGCTGTAAGAGTGCAGTAAACATGTCTTTCTGCTGATTTAGTAACTCTGTTACCTGAGCAAGAGAGACCAGATCCTCCTCTGGTTTTCCTTCTTTGCTGTCCATCTGCACCTTCTTTGGTGGCATACTGAAAGCTGTGGTTGGTGAGATAGCTCAGGGTAGATGTTAGCTGCTGCAGATAGCTCCGGGTAGATGTTAGCTGCTGCAGATAGCTCCGGGTAGATGTTAGCTGCTGCAGATAGCTGATGTAGCTGTTAATGACCCTCAGTCCGGCTCATTAACATCTGACGGGGGAAATGTAGATGATTTTCAGCGTTGAGCGTCACTGTGAGTTTTGGACCACAGATTTATTTTCTAAACAAGTGCCGAGAGCGGCGGAAGTTTTGTTATGTGTTGTGCTGTGAGCGGCGGTTGTGCGTGTCACCCAGCTGAGTTTTAAAATATCTCCTGCTGATGTTCATTACATCCCGACTGGATTATTGCAACTGAAAAAAGAGTAGATCAATTACTAAAGGAAGAGCCACCATGGTATCAAAAATACTGTGTATTTGTTACATTTAATCACAATGTGCAATTGTGGCTTGTGCAGTACACTATTCATTTAGCAGTGTGTCTTTTGTGTTTCAGGGTCGCACTGACCACTGTGTATTTTCAGTTACAGCTGTAGTTATGGCTGAGCTCTGTCACCCCCTTGTAGTCACAGTTCAGCATCCTTCAGGCTTTTGTGGCTGAAGTCATTCAGACTGAAGTCCAGCAGTCTGAGTTGAGTCTAAAGGGGAGAAACAACACAAAATAACTAAAGCATACGAGTAAACCAGCACATGTTTGACCATCTGATGCCTTGTTCAATAACTCCCTCTCTTTGTCTCGCTGCAGTGAACAGAGTATCTGCCAGGCGCGAGCCGCCGTCATGGTGTACGACGACGGAAACAAGAAGTGGGTCCCAGCGGGGGGGTCCACTGGATTCAGCAGGGTCCACATCTACCATCACACCGGGAACAACGCCTTCAGGGTGGTGGGCCGCAAGATCCAAGACCACCAGGTGTGTGTGTGTGTGTGTGTGTGTGTGTGTGTGTGTGTGTGTGTGTGTGTGTGTGTGTGTGTGTGTGTGTGTGTGTGTGTGTGTGTGTGTGTGTGTGTGTGTGTGTGTGTGTGTGTGTGTGTGTGTGTGTGTGTGTGTGTGTGTGTGTGTGTGTGTGTGTGTGTGTGTGTGTGTGTGTGTGTGTGTGTGTGTGTGTGAGTGTGAGGGAACCTCATCTGAAGCGCAAATGCGGCTCACCTACAGTGTAAGCGCGCCACAGTTTTGCCGCTGCGAGGCTCCACTAGCATAATTAATCTCTTAATCTCAGTTACACATTAAGGAATCAGACATGTTATGTATGAGGGGCCGTACAGGCCGTAATTCATACTGGTCCTCTCACACTCATACATTCTCCTTTTACATACATACATTTTCACTCTCATATACATATTATCATATTTCAATGCACACATTCATAAATTGTTCACTCACACATTTATACATTTTGTTCTCGTTCAATGTTTACATTTAATATTATAAATAATATATGCATGTCTGAAGACAATATATGTATGCAAGAGAAGAATGTATGTATGTGGGAGATGAAGTATAGTGGAAACGGAAGGAGTATGGTTGAAACGGAAGGCAGGTCATTATCGCGCTGTGTTTGGCTCAGAAGGTCGAGCGGGGCGGGCTCATGTTCAGAACTTCTGATTCAAATCAACACGATGGAGGGAGATGAATCTTCGGACCATTTGTTTTTCTTTATTAAACAAGTAAACGGAAGAGCGTCTGAGAGGCGTTTTTGCTTTTCGTTTTAGTTATTACATCGTTTCAGATAATAATAATAATAATAATAATAATAATAATAATAATAATAATATATATGTATATGAGAGTGAAAATGTATGAATTTAAAAGGAGAATGTGTGTGAGAGGACCAGTATGAATTACGGCCTGTACGGCCCCTCATAGTTATGCCTAGCACTAGCACCACCGGCTCCCTGCAGGTTTCAGTCCCTAAATAAGGCATGAGTGATTATGGGATTAATCCACATTACAAATTATTTTAGGGGATTTTAGCTATAGCAGATGAACATTTTCTTACATAATTTCCTACACTTCACATTCAGTTCAAAATGCATTCTAAATTGTGTGTGTTGAGAGGATCTGTTCTTGTGCAGGCCTAAAGGTTGTCTGAACAACTCTTTAGATTCTGCTCAGGGTAAAAATACTTTTAGCCCCACGCCAGTGTCACTTTGTGTGAGGACAATTCCAGGGAGGTGAGGGTTGCATCAAGATGGAGAAAAAGAGTGGTTGATGTACAGCTCTTGTTTTCAGGTCTGCATTTGTTTTGCCAAAAATGTCAGCCTTTCAACATGTCGTCCAACTTCTGTCACATTAGGAAACATACACAGCATACATTGTTCTTGGTGGCTCCTTCAATTAAGCTGCTGATTGTGTTCATGGACCTTTTCTAGTCTAAAGGATGTTTACACTTTTCTCCTCCCTTTCACCCTGGCTCCCTGCTGGTTTTCTCCAGGTGGTGATAAACTGTGCCATTCCCAAGGGGCTGAAGTACAATCAGGCCACGCAGACCTTCCACCAGTGGAGAGACGCCCGGCAGGTCTATGGCCTCAACTTTGGCAGCAAGGAGGACGCCAATGTCTTTGCCAGTGCCATGATGCACGCTCTGGAGGTGCTCAACTCCCAGGACTCAGGTGGGGCTGCCTTTTTGTTACCGTGGAGCCACTCTCAAACGTGACGCTGGTCTTGGGCAAGCAGAATATTTTTTTTATCCTCGTACAGTGTTGGAAAGCAACATTACATCTACTCAAGTACTGTACTTATTTACAAAATGTGACAAACCAGAAAACAAACTATTAGGCTACATATTGTTTAGTAGTTCATTATTTGTAAATCAGGCATATTTAAATAGACTTGAGAGATAATTCATATTTTGTCGGATAAAAACGCCGGGGTGGCGCTCTTACGCGGTGTCCATGCTTTCGTCTTGCGAAAAGGGGTGTTGGGTAAATCTCAAACTAAAATGTTAGCAGTAGTAGACGATGGCAGTGTGAGTGCTCATTAGTGCACTCTGTTGAAAAGGCTGCTAGTGTGATGTGATATCAGTATGATTTCTTTATCATCTCACGCACAAACACACACACACACACACACAGGCGCCTATTAACATTTGTGTATAACAGTTTGATGGAAGTACTGTATAATGACCTTTATTATGTCCAGTGTTTCCCACAGATCTGACATATACTTGTGGTGGTAGCCAGGCACGAGGGGGGGGGGGGTGTGTGAACAAAACCTTGGGGTCCGAATGTAAACAAAGCTGTCCTCACCGCAGAATTCTCCACACGGCATTTTGTTGTTGTTCAGGAGGCATAGAGCGAGGGATTATTGTCCACTAGTTAATCGATCGCAGATGGCGTCGTGCTCGTAGACGGATACAAAAATAAATAAATGGGTTGCGAAATATATTTTGGCGGCCGTTAATATACCTGGGCAGCCCGCCCAAGTAAAGTCTATGTGTGGGAAACCCTGATGTCTCAAACAATGATTTTTTGCACCGATACATTGTTATACAAATGTGGTGCCAAATGTAACGTTATTTTTAACCACTTTGGAGTTCATTAAAATGGTCAAAGATGCCCTCAAATACCAAATTATGACACCAAGACAAACAGCACACCAGAGAAAGTAATTTCTACCATCGAATATCAAAACATTTATAGATTTCTGCATGAATTGCATTTTTGTGCGATTGGTTGACAGTTTGACGGTTGGGACACGTCTCAGATAGCTCCTGAGCGTCAGTGTGTCCTCTGTCCTCTGACAGCCTCAGTCTGTTTGTGGCTCATGTTTCATGAGTACTGCAGCTCATTTTAGACACCCAGGTCAAGTTTCCATTAATGGTCTCAGTACAATGACTCATCACATGAACACAGCCTGGATTATTTTCTTAGAAAAAGTAAAAAAATACTATGAACACAATGGTTAAAGTATCCAAAGAATAAAGCTCTCTTACAGAATACAAGTGTGATATCATTATATATAACTGTGAGCATTCTGGCTCACACTAGGGTTACAAATGGACGAAGGAGAAGGTGGTTTGTGAAAAATAAAACAGTTTATTGCCACGGAGGGGGAAGTTCACAAAAACAACAATTTATAATTAGCCCCGCTAGGTCCTGAGGCTGCTCGGGGTCCGTGGATCCTTCTCTCAGGATCCAGCCTACTGCAAGCGAGAGAGCAGAACCAGGTTAGCAGCATTTATACTGAGAGCCTAATTACCTGATTCTGCTCAGCTGTCTGGTCTCCGGCCGAGCCACTCCCATCACTCCAGCAGCCGGCGCCCCTTTCACACCAACGCGGTACCCGTTCTAGCTCCGTGCTTGCGCTCTTCTGGTTCGGAACCAGTTTTTCTTTTCAGCCCCCGTTTTGTTCACACCACCCAGAGCCCGACTGGTGATACCGTGGCTGCGCCATGACGTCACCGTTTACATCGCTGATTTTCTCCGCAACGGCGCTCACAACAACAACAACAACAACAACGGGGGACTGCGTCGGGTCGATGATCGTGTTGTTAAATTAAATAACTACTTCTCAACCCTTATACTTTTCTCCATGAGTGCCCTGGTTCATTGTTTATTAATTTGTTTCATCGGCATTTACCAACCGCTGCAGTGCTGCCCGCTGTTTGGCATCACAACCAGTGGCGTTTTCTCCTGGAGGCCAAGGGAAGCCAGGCTTCCCCTGTTTTTTCGAATTGTAGTTATAATTTTAATAAATAAATAAAAACACTTAGTTTAGTTTCGGAAATTCTTTGTTGTGTGTTGCTGCCGGCCCGTCTCTCCCCCATTCTCATTGAGTATTTTACAAAGAGTGAAACAGCGCCCCTCTAGATGTTATGGTGAAACAGTAGATTGCACTCTCTGTTGCGAGAGGAGGCTAGCCGAAATTGGCTTCCCTTGGTGAAAACAAATGGAGGGATTGACCAATCAGATGAGGCTCACGTCATGCCCATACAGTCTATGGTCATGCCCCTGCCAACCTGTGATTAGTCAGGGCCATGCCAAGGGAAGCCAGAGGCGGCTGGCTTCCCTCACAATCCAATCAAATCGCATCAACTTAGTGTTGCAGTGACGCGTGTTGACCAGGGCATCCTAAAACCTTGGTTTCTCGTTTCCCCATGGGTTTCCCTCGGTTTCCCTCGACAGAAAGCAATGCGATTTCTCCATAGGATTTTGGAAAATAGCTTGAAATAAGGTCAGTGGAAAACGAACCTGTTAGATAAATGCACGTTGTGTTCAGTCGGATAATATCCACATGTCTACCCTACTTTTATAATTTTCGAATCATAAATCTAATCGATAGAAGATAGATAGCGCCACTGCATCACTCTCACCGCCGTTTGAAAATAGCAAGCAACTGAAGCAAGTGCAATTATGGAGGGTGGAGATTTGGAGTATTTCATCCAAACTGGAGCTGTGTACAGAGAGGTAAAAATGAGCGAGTCGGACGTAAAACGTTAAAGGTCTCCTGATTTAGTTTGTGAATGAATGCTTATTAGAGTTTGGGCTGGAGAGTGCGTGCGGACCTGTCGGTTAGATAACAGGCGTGTGTAAGTCCTGCATCTGATACAAATGTGTGTAAAATGATACCGGGTGCTGTAATCACTCATCTGGTTACGTTATTACATTGACCACCACACCCCCGACCAAAAAGAAAGGACGTATTATTGGCTTCCCCTAATTTGTTTCCCACGCCACGCTACTGATCACAACGCTGTTATGAAAGTTTATTTAGTATAAAATGTGATGTTAGCATAGCAACCGAAGTTAAACTGACAATCTTGACTACTTGTTGCTATCCTATTGTGGCATAAGCCGTTTTCTACAGGCAAATTTTACCGGCGTATTTTTCCTTATGATTCTACTTGTGATAGTAGGACATGACAACCTGTGCAGCCCATGTATCGATTCCACTCGGCTTCCCGGCAAGAACCAATACTTTGCGCTTACGTCGGAGGAGGCGAGATTAACCTGAGCTAACAGTTAAAGGCGAGTACGACTATGGTCCCCTCAAGACATCCACAGCTCTTCATTTTAGTATCTTTGAGTCTTTCCTCACTTGTCCAATGTTAAAGACAAGCACAGCCATTTTAACAAGAAAAATCTAAGAGTAATAATGAATAGAATCATCAATGAATAAGTAATTTTAGAGGGTATATGTATACACTGAGGCCCTCTGTATTTGCATATACTTGATATAACCAATTGTTGTTATTCCATTCAAATCAGTCATATAAGGATGACATTTAGCCTAATTCCTACTTTTAAGATGAACCTAGACGCTCCATAGAATACAATGAATAGTGATATTCTTCATGCTATCGCCGTCCTAAATAATGACAACTCACACATTTAACAGTATGCTATTTGTACATATTCAGCAAGTTTAGCCACTTTTTTTCTATCTAAGGGTCGTAGCACTGCAACATCTCTTTACCTTGTACATGGTGGATGTGGGCCCCTACCCACATCCACAGCTATTCTGCTACCCTTGCGGGACATCATGCAATTCAAATTAAAAGCTGCACGATTGTGTGATTGTGTGATTGTGTGTCTGGTGTTGGAGGTTTGTCTTATCTTGATCGCCTTTTTATCAGCATTTTGGATTGTTTGGATTGTAGTATGTACAACAACTGTTGAACATTCTCACCCTGCAGAGGAACAGGAGCCTTGGTCTTGCTAACTTAATCGTGTCTGTGTGGGGAGACCAGGTCAGATCCTGACTAAAGTGAACCCATGGGACCTGAAGCTGTTGTATCTCTCCCTTGTAGTCCCATTGAGATTGATGGTGGAGCATCCTTTTCCTTGTAGCTCACTGTCCTCAATCAAGCTCCTTGGTTTTGCTGACATTGAGATGAAGGTTGTTGTCACGGCACCAAGATGTCAAGCCTCTGATCTCCTCTTTGTGGCCGTCTCATTGCCATTGGTGCCCCGGTGGATGACATCTTGTCATCAGCAAACTTGTCAATGTGTTGGAGCTGTGTGTGGCCATGCAGTCGTGTGTGAACATAGAGTAAAGGAGAGGGCTGAGCAGGCAGCCCTGAGGGGCTCCGGTGTTGAGGGTTAAGGTGGAGGATGTGGCCTGTCAGGGTCCAATCACAGAGGGAGGTGTGTGCAAGGTCTCTGAGCCTGATGGCAAACTCGGAGGGCTTTGGTCAATGTGGTAGCAGGCAGGGCGACTTAACACACCGAGGTGGATAGGTCAGTGAGGGTGGAGGTAATAGAAGTTTGATCAACCAACTAAAGCACTCCATAATGGTGGAGGTGAGTGCTTCTGAGCAGTGGTCATTCAGGCAGAGAGTGGTGGACTTCTTGAAACATGTGGGGACTACAGACTGAAGCTGCCAGATGTTCTGCACACACCTCGGTCAGTGATGCCATCAGGTAGGTGCCTTGTGTAGAAATCCTTTTGAAACATCTGAACACATCAGTGTTCATTTTGGCAGCTGTTTTTGATTTAGTCTTAGTCTTAGTCTTTAGACGAAAATGGTTATTAGTTTTAGTTACATTTTAGTCATTTCTATCCTTCATAGTTTTAGTCTAGTTTTAGTCTACGAAAACTCAAAACGTTTTAGTCTAGTTTTAGTCTACGAAAACTCAAAACGTTTTAGTCTAGTTTTAGTCTATGAAAA